CTGTCTCACATGGACTTTCCCTCAAATGCCATTAACCTGATCCTTACCCTCCACATCTAGCTCCTCGCCCCTTTCTAGAAAGCCAGGGGCTAGGGATTCAGCTCAGTGGCATAAGCACCAAACAGAAAGCCAGGTTTTGACCAGCATTATGTCCCCTGCAAGATCTGTCATAAATGTGAAGGGCCTGAGGGTTCAAAAGCTGGCAAGGTGTGACAGGTTCCTACTTGTCAAAGAAGGCATGGGGTTCCTCGGTGAGTAACTGAGGTAAATCACAATAGCAGCGCCACTCAGAGGGTGTCAGGGTGCTCTTGCTGATCCCCTAGTCCCCAATTTCCACAGGGCAGTGAGAAGAGAACAAGTGACTGCCACTTCAGGCAATGGGCTGCATCACTAGGACAGAAATCCTGGTTTTGGGACAGGCGTCCTTCCCGCTGGGCTGTAGGCACGTCTGCCTTTGCACTTGTGGGAGATGTGACCTTTTAAAGGCGCTGCTACAGGAACATTTTTGAAAAGTTATTATAAAACCAAGATGCCCAGAATCTAGATATTCTCCCCTGCACATATGCAATTATAAAAACTAGTGGAAAATTATCTTCCAACAGGATGTAAAGGAAACAAATTGACCTCCAAACTTGGGTAACTAACAATTATGCTAGGGTACACCTAAGACACCTTTGTTTTCAAATTCAGTTTTGTGAAACTTTGGGTTTTGTGTGATTTGGAAAACTCTTTCTGATCCTGTTTGTCTACATTGAGTTTTGGGTGTCTTCCTCCATCTGTAATGGCAAGACTTACATCAGGACGAATGTATTTACATAACTTGGAGGAATCTGTTTACTTGAGTCAATGGTTCATTTTTCTTTTTAAACAGAATTCATCTTAAATTTTAAGAGAATTTTTATTTAAATACTTTTGTTACAGTATTTATGCAGCTGCAGTATTTAACAAACCTCCAAGATGCAGTCATATTTTGATAGACTTTGTGACTCTGCCACCAGAAGTAGAATTCAAAATAAATGTGTTATTTAAAGCAATGATGAAAGTAATAATAAAGAGTATAATTAATACCGAGATGGTTTTCAATACAAGGGTTACGACTCAATTTTTTGTACATAGAGGGCGAACTAAAAGAATTACTGAATTTAAGAACAGGCATATACATAAAGAAATGTACATTTACAAAAAGAGAAAATGTTGAGGTATACTGTATCATAAGCATTTGCTGAAAAAAACCTCTTACATGTTTAGCATGTGCATTATAACAAAACACTAGTTTCCTTGAGAGCTTAAAAATAAAAAGTGGGCTCATCTAAAGCAGAAATCACAGACACATGCCAGTTATTCATTATCTTCTCAGTTCAAGCATATTTATTTTCCCCCTGTGGACAGTAAGTTCCTGCTGAAGCCATCTAGGAATAGGTTCTAGAGCGTTCCAGAAGCTCTGGAAGTTTCTGTGTGGAGTGCAAAGTCACAGGCACATTTTTGGATGGGCGATGATCTCCATCTTTTTATGTAGATCTTCAAGCACTATATGATTCCATAAAAAAGGAAACCACTGGCTGAATGGAGAAGTTTCCAAAGCTAAACTTAATGATGATTCAAAACAAGGAAAGAAAATACCATCATTTCTGTTCATATCAGGTTCATTTAGGAAAGAAACTAAGCTATCCTGATACATATTATGTGGAGAGCTAAGTATTATATTTGTTAGCACATACATGTACATATATGGGTGTATAGTAAGAAATGAGAGGAGAGGAAAGCAGTTAAAGCACTTCACTAATGGTGTGCAAGAGGTCAAAAGGTTGGGAATCACTATTCTGTCTCAGGGAATATCAAAGATTCACAAGGAATTTTTAATTTCCATATAGGAAGAGGCAAAAGAACAGTAAATTCTCAGATTTTTTTGAGACAGGTCCTCATTTGTAGTTCAGACTGTCCTTGAACTCAAGATGATCCTCTTGCCTCCCAGCTGCTGATTTTACAGGCATGCATTACCATGCCTAGCCTAGAATGCTACTACATATTATTGTTTTTTTTTTGTTGTTGTTGTTGTTTTTGGTACTAGAAGTCAAGATCTTGCATTTGCCAGACAAGCGCTGTGCCACTGAGCTGTATCTTCAACCCTGCTAATATATTTTTATTTCTTTCAATTTTACATTACACAATTTATTCAAGGGAGATGTCTCATAATTAAACAGCACCTGGTGCTGCACAATCTTGAATTATTAGGAACTGCTACAGTATTTCTAATGGCATTGATCACCACAACATTGGTGCTCTTATTCTTGGTGTGTACTACTTAACACATTGGACTGTCCATCTCTGTAATTGTATTTTGTTTCACTTTGTTCTGTTTTAATTTACTCTGATGGTAACTTGAATTTCTTTCTTCTATAAAGATGGGATTGGCAGCATTTCAGAATACTCAAATATCTTAGCAAATCCTTTGGGACCTGGGCATTATGCAAAGTCATTTTCTGCCAAGCAATTTTCTTCACAGTTTAGCAGATTTGTTTTCAAATTAATTTTATGGTATTCTACAGCTTAAAAGATTAAAAAGGCCAAAAGGAAGTCACAACTTTCTCTAGAAATTTCCTCCAGAGTATTTGAGATTAAATCAGTCTCGGTTGTGCCATTTTGTCCTGGTTTCTATACCAGTGCTTACCTCTAACATATGACTATTTCATGAAACCAAGTTTGTTTTGATGGAAATGAATCTGCACTAATTTTTTAAAAGAAGTATAGCTTTTAAACATTATATTTTTCCTTCTGTTTACTTTTTGAGATTAGAAATCTATGGGTTCATGATGGCCTTGCTTTTTTTTTTTCATTGAACGAATAGGAAGAAATGGGCATTAATAAGAAGAGAGAGTCAGTTAATAAGTGTGGGGTTACGCAGACTAGTCTGATGTAGGTATGGCCAAACGCAAGACTGCTTTAAGGTGATTACAGATGGAAATACAATGTGCAATGTTGAACCTGGCTTAAAGTTATCAACCCTAAGTGCCTATCATTAACATAATAAAGGAAAAATTTTAAACGGAGACCCACTTCATCAGCAAGCTAAAAGCTAGGGGCTGGGAGTGAGGCTCAGTGCAGGAGCTTATGCCTTAGCATGCTGAGGCCCTGGGTTAAATCCCCAGTCCCTGGAGAAAAATGAAATCTAGAAGCTGGCACACCAAGAGCAGAAGGACCCTGAATTTAACGAGAGCCACAGGTGCAGTCCCACCCCGGGGAGCCTGGCAGTCACCGCTGGAGCAAACTTTCCCTTCTCGGCAGAAGTCACCAAGACTTCTCATGACTCAGATACCCTGACAAGTATCATGTGCAAATCTTGTTTGCTAATGACATCTGGTGTTCTCTTTCCAAGGCAAGCTGTGTCCGATTTTAACCTGCATAGAATCCCACTTCCGTGTTGTGCCTTCAGGGTTGTGTTTCTACTGGGGAAGACGGGAAGATTTCCTTACAGTACCTGCAATGGCCCTTGGTGAGCCCTCTCCCTTGCACCATCTCCATTCCTGCACCCCTTAAGGTCATTCTTCTGTTTAGCTGCCCACGCACCGTTATCAAAATAGTCTGCACTTAAGTGCACAATTGGGTAAAATAAACTCAGTTCTTACTGTTCAGTGAAGGGAGCTCTTTGGATCTAGAACCAATGGCCCATATGTTAGAGGTTTAAGGTGCTAACAGGCACTGCAGGAGGCTGCAGAAACTTCTGGATGTGGAGCCAGTTGGAGAGAGGTCTGCAGGCCCTGGGGCTCGGGCCTTCAGCAGGGCCACCTGTCCTCTCTCTTCCCTTCCCCATTTTGTTCCCTGAACCAGGTGCATTGTTTCCTCTGCAGGCTATCACTGTGCAGTGCTGCAAACGCTTTCCTGCCACAGCAGGGCCCTGCAATCACAGGCCCACCTAATCCTAGATCAAAACCTGCAAGAATACCAGCCAAAACAAACAGGTTTCTCTTGATAAGTGGCCTCAGATAGTTGTTACAATAATTTGTTACATGGTCTAGCAAGCTGCTCCCACAAAATATAGAATAAACACATGTAATATGTCACTTATTAAGTGATTCATACAGGTCCGACACACTACTGCAGTCATTCCTAATGTCCTTCTCTTTGGAACTGCAGCAGTGAGTTCAATATATGTCAGCTGAAAACAAAAAGCAAAGAAAAACCTAATACCCTTAGACTTTATGGTGGCTTCGCATATTGGGTGATTCCTGGGTGACCTCAGGGAACCCCGGTCCACCCTCGGGAGACAGTACTTGCTCCCCATTTCCTTCATTTGCAGACCCACCAAAGAGCAAGGTTTTTATCCTACACCTTCTTACCTGAGAGCAGCACTGGCCTGGGCAGGTCTGCCTTGATGGGCTGACAATCTTAGAAGTCGTCTGGAAGGTGGGGTGATTAAGGCACAAGCAACGCTGTCCCTGTTAGGGGCATGCAGAGCTGATGGCCTTGAGACCAACACGCAATTCCACTGCCACGGATCCCAGCTTTCTGCTCAGGACACGAGTCTGGTACAGTGATGCACATCTGCAATCCCAGAACCCAGGGAGGTGGGCAGGGTGCCGCAAGGCAGAGCTCCCGAACCTCTTAGGGAGACTCTCTATTAAAATAAAATCCAAAAGTGTTGGGGACCAACACTGCATCTGACCTCGTGTGGAAAGAAGAAAGGAGAGATGCAGTGAAGGCCACACAGGATAGTCACTTTCCTCTGAAATCTACACACACACCCCAGCCATCTATGCGACTACTTACCCACTCATGCGTGCACTTTTAGAAATTGCCTTCCAAAATTTTACCTGATCCTATCAATTCTCTTCCTTTGAGATCTGACATCTTCCTTGTCTAGCAGCTTTGAAACTGCTGTAGAAAGAGCAGACACCACTTAATCTGCTTTACTGCTTCTTTTATTTCATTTTTCGTAATTCATCAGCCTTTGTAGGGTCTTCTAGGGGAGCCTGTCACAGATGACACAATTTTCCAGGAAAACATAATTTCTTGGATAATTTTTATTTACATAAAATGCCAAAATGATAGAAAAGATGCAGGAGTAGAACAAGCGACCTTTGTACAGTTTGTGCCCGGATTACACACATTTCCCATTTGTTCTGTTTGCGTGTGATTACACAGCGCACACCCATGGAAGACACGGCTTGCTTTGGCAAGTGCTGGGGCCCATCCTTGCACAGGTATGAGGCAGATGCTCAACCCATGGGCCACGCTCTCAGCCCTGTGAGGTGCTTCCAAATTCTCCCTAACTCACTCTCAGGTCATCACCTGCAACCAAACTGGGGTCTGCTTAAAAATGTATTTGATAAAGACAACATTTTATTGTATGCACTCTGATATCCTATATTTCCAATTACTTCCCGTGTAATAGATTGCTTCACTAGAAAAGCATTTACATTTTTATTTTCCTCATAAATATTCATTTAACTTGTCATCACCGTAAGAATGAAAATGTATTTTCCCCGGGCTATGGCACACCCCAATCACAAGGTGAATGTTTAATGAAACACATCTCATCCTTTAATAAACCTAAGTATCATTCACTGAACAGTAATCACCTTAGTATCTGCAATGGCACTGTTGGGAGTCTGGAGGTCACTTGTAGTGACTGTTATTCTTGATGACATTGGGGTGCGACTGGGTGCAGTGGCATTGTTGGGAGTCTGGAGGTCACTCAGTAGTGACTGTCATTCCTGATGACATCGGGGTGTGCTTGGGACTACAAAGAAACTTTAGCCTGAGATGTTTGCAGAGCTCCAGGTCAGTCGGTATCTCTAGGCTTTTGCTAATACAGACTTAAAAACTGTAACATTCATCTTTCTCTTGCTTTTAAATTTGATCTTTAAAAGTAAAATCATTTCCCTAGCCAAACTCAGTACATTTTTACTTAGAATTTAGAGCGACATCAACATTAAACATACACATTGAGGTTTCATGGCTGAGACCCTATCTCAGTCTCAGAGAGCTTGGTTTGTGCAAAGCCCTGGGCTCTACACATGGAACCGGCATGCCAAGAAAAGAAAGAATAAGAAAAGTTCAAGCTTCAGAAAAATGTTCAGAAATTTCTCCCACTTCTACCCCACTAGTGGTCTCTTTAGAAGATATCATCAAAGATATTTCAACGGAAAAATTCACAGAAGTCTACTCGGCAATACAAAATCTGGGTTCCTGTTACCACGGTCAGCACAAGTATTTAAGGAAAAGGAGCTATCAAAAATGATAAAGTCTTAATTTTTACTTCTGGAATTAGATTTTCTTCTTAGGAACTTAACATGGCTCAGAATGGCAATTGAGAACATCTGCTAAAGATGTTAAAATTATGTGTGCGTGCGTGAACACACGCACACGCACACAGATATGAAGCCTTCACTGTTCTGATTTAGGGTTTACGGTAAGCTTCCTGGGTGGATACTTTAATCCCATTGCACTTGTGGCTAAACTAAATTAGATTCGGTACTGCATTTAAACATAGCCCACAAGCCTTTTTTATTTTGAATATTTTTACAATTATGATATTTAAATGAGAAACAGAAATTAAACTTCTAAGGTCAATTGAGATGGGCTTTACTCTGTGGAGAATAAAAAACAATAAATGTCAACTCAAAAAATATATTTATTTTATGACATGTTGTATTATAGAGAATATTTGTAACTTTAAAAACTGGTAATATTCTTTGACATTTACAGAAGTAGTTTTTATATCATAGTGCACCTAACCTCTAACTGCTTATTTCCTACAAACAAAGGAAGCAAAAGCAAAAAGAGGCAATAAAGAAAAACCAGCTCAGCCTACTTACGCTAACAGTTAAATGAGGAACTAAAACGAGCCGTGGAGTGGAGAGGGAAAGGGCCGCAGAGCTGGGACTGCAGTTTCTATCCCGAAGCCTCTTCCAGCCATGCTATCAGGACTACACTATGACAATCTGGCACGAGATGCAGGCGGCCGTCGCTGTGCAGAGCTGGCTACGCAACCTGACTGTGGACCAGATGCAGAGCTCCCAGCGAGTGCAGGCAGGAAGTGACTGCTACAGAACAGAAGTCAGCCCCATGTCACTGTCTGAGGCTTCTCTCAGCCAAAACGATATTGCAGCGAACACGAGTCTGTCACGTTAACTGGGAGAAAGTGGCCTGTGAGCCTGCGCCAAAAATTTAATGCTGCTCACAGCCTTCTGTCACCCTAAAGTGCTTTCCAAGGTCCCAGGCACCCTCCAAGGAGTCAGCCCCCACAGACTACAGGCGAGCACGGCTCTCTAATCCACACCCGATGCTTTGCCTAAGAAGTTGGCGTTGCTGTCATCAGGCTCGGTTCTCCGGAACCACGGCTTTGAGTTTGCTCCCTGGTGGTAAGCGTCCAGAAAGTGGCAGATTCCGGGGATTTCACTGGGAAAGTTGGGTGGAAGCTCCTCCCTGGATCGAGGGGTGAACACGAAGCCTGGACAGTCTTTAAGGAGTCTGAAATGGTTAAAGAAAGAAGATTAAAATTGCACACTAATAATGATCTCTCGGGAAAAAAAGCAACACAACTGGACGACTATCACTAACCAGCCACTTCACTTGTGACAGACTTTCGTGATGGTAACACATCCCCAGTGTACTGCAGTGACAAACCAAATCCACGGTGACATATAACTCTACTAACCAGGAGCAACAGTTACAAACACTTGGGTACTATAACAGCACAATTCACAGTAGTTTAAAAGTAACCTGCCTGGCAGGCGCAAGGCCTTGGTATCCCTGATATCCCTGATACCAAGACGGAAACAGAAACCACAACAAAACAAATAAACAAACAAACAAAAAAATTTAAAATAACAAAAATAAAGTAACCCCAATGTCTAACAATAGTCTAGTGATAATGTATCCCACATGCTATTGATAAAGCTTTCTAAATTCAAAGTGGTCACAAGTCCACTTATCAATTCAAAAACTGTATAAATAATATTAAGCAGCAGCTATGGATAAAATTTTGTGAAACAAAAATGACATGAGAATGACTTTTTGATATTTCAGTAGAATTTTATGAGATTTAATTGTACAAATTCAGACTTCCTTTTGGTACGTATTTGTAGTATTTCTCTTCTAAAACTCGTCTGTCTCCTCCATTTCACTATTTCTTACCACTTGTCCCTTAAGCTAAACTCACTTTAAATTCAAGTCTTACTGATTAAGTTACTGAATCTGCTTCCCATTTGCTTGGCTAGCTTTGCATCAAATTGGAACTTAATAAGGGTCCTCTCTAATCTACTATTCAGGCCAGGGATAAAAATGCTGCACGGCCCTGTGCTCTAACCCAGCTTTTACGGAAAATTACTGATTGTTTCTGCTCGAGCAGAACATGGCCTGCGATTTAGCAGCCACGGTGTTGTGTGTGAATGGCACAGATGGTGGAGTGATGGTGCTGAGCTGCATTTCAGTGCTGTGATGTTTTCCTAGGTCCTGAAGAAACACCGCAATACAAACACACATGTCAAGAAGGTATCTCCGCATGTGCTATTCTCATTCTAATCTTTAGCCACACAGCCATCAAAATGGAATCTGCAAAAGAAAACTAATGAAGATTACTCACTACACACATCAACATTTTTGAGTGGCTACTGTTGAAAGGCACAGAACTTGGTGAACGCACTCTCACTAGCTGTGGGCAGAAGACATACTCAGGAATACACAGTACGCAGCGCACACAGCACGCCTGCAGAGTGAGGTGCTACAAGTGAGTCGTGCCAGTCTGGAGTGTGAAACCAGTTCATTTCAGGGCCTGAAACAGCCAACGTGGGCAAATACTGATACCCCAGAAAGTGGCAAATGCTGAAATTTTGAGGTTCTTTCTTTGATTTCTCATTCCTCAAAGGTAATTTTCTGGTAAACCACTACATGAGGAATCCTCAAAGTGAATGAACTAGATTTTTGTGAGTTAGATCGACATTTAATCAATTGAAAAGAATCATAAAACATAATATTGAGAACATTCAAAATAAGTCCTAGAAAGACTTATATTAAGTGATAGAGGCTGAGTTTTCTCTAGTTTCATGTAGTGAATAGTACTTTATAGTGTGTATTTGTCTAAATAAAGCATGTTAACTATTGCTCACCCTTTAGATAAAACATAACTATCTCCTGTGTAAGAATAAAGGGAAAGCATTACTGTAATACATACAATGGAGTACTACTCAGCCGCAAAGATTGTACTGAAGTCTTTATAAGTAAATGGATGCAACTTGACACCATAATCAAAAGTAAAATAAATCAAACTCATGTGTAATCAAACTTCCTAGTATAAGAAACTGAAAGACCAAATAAGATCCAAAATCCACAGTAAATATTGTACAAGGGTAAGAAACTATACACACAAATAAGATATCTAAGATGACTGTATTACTAATTCTACTAATTCTTGGGAAATAAAAGTTAATACTCATAGGATTAGATCAATTTTGCATGTCTGGATCTGGTAATCTAAGCAACTCTTCTGAAGATAACAATATGCAACGTTATAACCATTGTTAATTTCCTATCTTATTCTGAAAGCCTATACTGTTACTGTTTTGGGTTTGTTGCGGCTGCTGTTGTTTGTCTCTTGTTTTCAGCTTTTCTTTTCTGTCTTTTGTCTCTTCAATAAAAAATACGTATGAAAGGAGTACAAGCTGCAGCAACACCAGTGTGAGGGGTGGAGGCCACGATCTGGCCTTAGCACGCAGGAGGGGAGGGTGTGGCAGGCAGACCTGAGCACGCGGGAGGAGACCTGGGCCCTCTGGGTGAACCACACAGGAACAGGTGGGGTGCCAGGAGGAACAGAAAGCATGTTCCCTGCACCACTCCAGGTCTGAGGAACTATGAAGATCAGTCAATTGGCTAAGCGGGAAGCAGATTTCATGAGGATATTGTGTGGGAATTCACTCAATCAAGTTACTTTTAATGTGTCAATTAGTCATTTAATTAGTCTGTAGCACTGTGGAGACTTACAGAATGGACTAGAACTATCTTAAAAAGGGAGAACAATAAAAAGTTGATTTTTAAATTTACTTAAACTCATTTACTTTTCTTGAGACAGGATCTCGCTGCTTTGCCCAGGCTGCCTTTGAGCTTTGAGCTCCTGGACAGAGGTGATCCTCCTGTCTCAGCTTCCTGAGCGGCTGGAGCTACATACAGGTGCACACCCCAGTCCATAGCAAGAGAGTCACTCACAGAAACTCCCTGCGACACTCAAAGGTGTGATGGGGCAGGAGCAGAAACAACGGACTCTCCGGGTGTGGCCCTGGGGTAAAGCGAAGGCCACATAGGCCTGGCACTGGGAAACCTAGTAAGAAGCCATTTCAAACAGAGATGTCACATTTAGCCTACCCAGCAGCGAAGAGATGGAAGGTGAGGAAGGTCTCTGCCAGGTGTGCAGACAACCTGGGTCAGAACCAATCCGTGAGGCAGAGGAACTGTCACTGATGCAAATGTGAAACAGCAAGAAAGCATAGAGAAAACAGGTAGGGAGTCCAGGCGACTCCTTTGAGTCCTGATGGATAAAGAGGCAGAAAGAGAAGCTGGCAATAGATGATGGACTTGGAAATAAAGAAATGTTATGTTTTCAGGAGCTTTTATAGCAAGACATGCTTGTATTCTACTGGCAATGACATTTCAGGCGAGAGAAATTGACCACGGGTGGAAGGCAGTTATTCTGAAGTAGAACAGCTCTTGCCGAGGTGACCAGAAGGATGCTGGCCAGAGCAAAGCAGTGTTCAGGCAGAGGCAGGGCTGCTGGCCCAGTAGCCTGAAGTGGAGCCCGGGCAGGCACTGGGGCAGCCTGGTATGAAGACAGCACGGTCTCGTCTGCTGCCCTGCTTCCGCTGTGACACGCAAAGCAAAGTTACCAGCTGGGCGGTCTAGAAAGATGACGGTGTTTCAGGAGAGGAGACTCCAAGAGAGCCACCCTTAAGAACAGGAAAGATACTATATCTACCGTGTGAATCTGGAAAATGATTTAGTATTTAAGTGTTCCCATTAATAGTTTTTAACGTGACCAAATTTAAACCACAGATGCACTTCTACCTGAACGGTTGGTTTATTTTCTGGTTGAAGGTAGACAAATGATCCCACAGTTGAGGACCTTCATGACTGAGCCTGCCCCCTGTGTTGTTAAGGATACCAGAGTGACGTCAGAGAAGACAGTGCTCTCGTCTCACTAGGTGAAGGTCTGAACCAGTCCAGAAGACTGTGCGAACAGCAAACCTGTTCAGAGAACTACACATCTCCCACTTCCCTACACAGAGGCACAGTGGGGAGTCTGCTTGGTCCTGTTCCTTATGACGAGAAGGGAGCTTCTAAAACTCTCAGGATCTCTGGGTTACATGAGTCCTTGAGGACTTGGGTTGATGCAGCATGGAAGAAGGATCTAGAAAAATTCATCGTTACTACTGAAAGGCTGAGGCTCTGGGTCAACCTGACTCTGGTAGGGGACACAGACGCTGACAAAACAAGGCCAATGAGTTAATCAATCACATCCTCATAATCAAACTAAGCAAACTAACGAGTCCAGACACCAAAGCTCCAAGTTCGTGGTGCTTTTCTTGTTGGGAACCCCACTGATGTGGTAAAAGGGTGATGTGTGTGATCCATAAGCAGGAGACAGGGAAGCTCTGTATCAGGAACCCTCTCGGACCCCACCTTGTCCATCTCTTGCTTACCAACCTTCAGGTGTCCCTTCACAGTGAAGCTGTAAGGTAAGTGTGACACCCACTGTGGGCTCTGTGTGCCTGGGAGGTCTGGGGAGCAACTGAGACTGCAGCCATTTGGTCAAGAGTGAAGGTAGCCTAAGGACCTGGCGTGTGTGAAGCCCCTGATTAACGGCGGACCTCTCAGTACCAAGCCCTTAAGTTGTGACTGTAAGTATGCCTACTCTGAGTGGCTCAGGCTAGAACTGTACTGCACTGCAACAGCTGACATCACAATACCTAACGATACACATGATCACAAATCAAAACTATGAAAGAAGACATGATATCTGTTAAGAATCCCCATTGAGCTACAAATATGTCTTGCAGCTCAAGAACATCTTTAAAACAAGTTAAACTGAGTGTTATAAAGATTATCACTTTTCTTTTCTCTTTAAGGTCCTCTCAGACAAAATCTGTGGAGAATGAATGAAATCAACAGAGAAAAATGGCACCTATACAAAAACAAAAACAACAGATTTCAGGTGCTTAATGTTCTCAGTACCTGTAGGTGGTTGGACTGACATTGATTTTCCGTGGCACGCTGCAGGACTCAAATTTGTTAGCCAGAGTCACATTGTTTCCGAAAAGACAGTAACGGGGCATTTTAACTCCAACAACTCCAGCAAACACTGAGCCAGAATGCAGTCCAATTCGCATCTGAAAGCAAAATTAACAATGCTGTGGTCACTGTAAAGCACTTGACAACGCTGTCTGAATGCACTGTCTTGACAATATTACCATAAACACGGCAGGTATACATGTGTCTCTCATGTGGTATCTTTAACTCTCTGGGAAAGTACCGAGCTGGGGAATAGCTGGGTCAGCACAATTCACAGAAGCTGAATTTTGGAAGTAGTCCATATGTCCACCAACAGGTGAATGGATAAATAAAATGTAGTGTTTACACACCATGGAGGACCTCTGCACTAAAGAGCAATACACTCGAGTCATTTGTGGGCAAACAAATGCACTGTGAGACATAAAGTTCAGTGAGATAATTCAGACACACTAGTTAAATATCACATGGGATTCTCTGGGATTCTAAATGCCAAGTGAAGTAAAAGAAAGACAGTAGAAGTAGAGAGAGGTGTTTCAAGGGAGAAGGAGATCAACAGATGGGGGCATGGTGTGGGGAGAAACAAGGGATGAAATCCTGCACGTGTACCAACTCCACTCAAAAAATGTATTAATGTATTCAAAAATTACCAAAAAGGGGAGATGAAAGGATGGTGAAGTGTGACGGAGGAAAGGGAAAAAGAAACATGTTATGTTCATGTGTCAACTTCCCACAAGGAGTGTAAACATCACGTACTACACACATATACTAAGAAACTAAAATAATAAAAACTTATATGACCAGTAATTTCCACCCAAACATTCCTTTCCTTGAAGCCTACAGTCAACGCCCCTCTGTGCTCACCACGGAAGTTTACATCACCAGTGCAAAATCAGTGGTCTCCATGTGCCCCCATAAGCTTAGTAAGCCATGTTTACTGCACCCAATTTCAGTGTCTGAAATGACGAGCCTCTCACAGTCATCACAGAGACTGTGACCGCCAGCATCTGTGGCTGTTTGTGTACACCACTTCCCTGCATCAAGTAAAAAAGATTTGGTTTCTGAATTCCAGGAGTTGTTTCCCAAAATGGTGATAGCGAAAGACAAAAGAAGTTAGTTCCAAGGATCTAAACTGGGTTTCCAAAAACCTGGACATGATAAACTGTGTCTGCAGTTTCTGCTGCTAGAAGGGTGAGGCACAGACATAGCTGGTACCCAGGAGGTCAAGGCAGCTTGGGCAGCATAATCACATTCCAGCTCAACAGAGACCAAACAGATTTAAAAGATGCTTTGCTTTAAAGTAGCTTTATGCAAAACACCTCCCACTATTCAGATAACTAAAGACGGAGGAAAACTGTAATATCTAGGCAGAAAATGACAAAGAAAAACACTGGATTTGCACTGCTCTATTTAACAGCTTTTCATTACTATGACCAAATACCTGATAAAAACTTAAAGGAGATTTCTTTTGGCTCACAGTTTCAGAGGCTTCACTGCATGGTCTGCTAGCTCCAGCTGGAAACCCCCTGGTGAAAGGTGTGATGGGGGAAAGCTGCTCACCTCATGGCAGTAAAGCAGACAGAGAGGTGAGGAGTCAGAGCGGAAAGGAAGGCGCCCAAGCAAAGACACATATTTCAAAGGGCACCCTCCAGGGGTCAGATCCTCCAACAAGGCCCCCTATTAATGGCCCATTCACCAATGAACTCATAAATGTGTCAGCCTATTGAGGACCCTCAAAACTCAAACTCCTCTTTACCCCTTACCTCTGATCACTGTTCCACTGCAAACCGAGACCTCAGTACATAAGCCAATGGGGAATCATTTCCTATCTACATGATAACTGTTACAGCCCAAATAACAGTGACTGCCATCTGTGTAGTCAACGTTCACTAAAGTCCAGATCCACAGAACACTAAAACTGCACCATCTCTAGGTTGTAAGAGGCAGTAGGAGATATGCAGGAATAAAATTAAGGAATTAGGAATGATCTAGGGAGACACTGAGATGGACCAACGAGATGATTCTAAGGACACCAAGACTCTGAAATTACTGTACAACAAAGCAAGTTAACGTATTTATATGACAGATACCATATCCATTATTTCCAACTTTTACGTTCAATTGACTTTGAAAAATTTTCTTAGATATATGCATTTTAATTCAGTCATGGACTCAGTAATTTAGATGCAAATGAAGAAGAATCAAGGAACTCACTTCCTGCCCAATTCTTTAGCTTATTTTAGATATCTGCTACCGATTTTCCAGAATCATTTGCTTTTTAAGATGTTGTAATATGAAATCTAAGACATTTTCAAACAGAAAGATTGTAAATTTGGACATTTGAATTCTAACCAACTCCTAGTAATTGATAGCAAGATTTGTTTTTCTCTGATCATTTCTTCATGTATAAAATACAGTGGTGGGTGATTCTTAAAGGCAGAGTTTTACTTTATGGAGCAAAATTCAGATAACTGCTAAATTTTGCTCTTTTCTTCTTAAAGGAAATATGGTTTTATAAATCTAACAAATATATAATAAAATAATAGAAAATTATATTCTACCTCTAAATATAAGGCATGACTTTGGCAGAGCTGAATGAGAAGTTTTTGCTTTCTTGGGCCTTCTCTAGTTTTTCTCTGTATATTTTGTTACTTTAATTGTTTGTGTGCTTAATCTACCATAGCGTTTTCGTTTTTATTTCCTAAATACTATGTAAACGCATGTTCCTCACTAAGCCGAAGTCTTTCTGATTCCTCCCAATGCCACTTTCCATGACACACCTTCCTCCATTATCAACCTTGCATCAACCCCACAATTTTCACAGAGAAATTTTCATATTTATGAGCAAGAAATGATCCAAGACATGAAACACACCTGATGCCCTGATGTATCTCTATTCAAGGAAAAAGACTTGAGCGTGGAATAGTGAAAGCCTTAGAATTCTGACACCCAGTGCAAGCCTGATGGAGACTTCCCAAGGAGTCTTCTACACGAAGACCACTTTTGGTTGTAGCTCATTTCTCATGCCCGGCTTCTGGGTGTAGGAAAGGAGGCGACCACAAGTGGATTCTTATGTTACTGCCACTTTCTCACTCTGATTGTAACATGCTGCTGTGTCTCTACCTTTAATGCGCTTACACTTTCTAACTCTGAGAAGCCGGACAGCTGTGAGGACACCAGCAAGAAGGGGGGAGTCACATGTGTGACAGAAAGAAGAAAAGCAGATTTGAAAGGAAACAGTTTCTATCCTTTCTATTCCATGAGACAGCAGGGTAAAAAACTAGAAGCAGCCTTGGCTCTAAAGCCAGATGAGGTAAGATTCCAAATCCTGACTCATAAAACCCTAGACTACTCTTGCCCACCAGGAATCATGCCTTTCTCTTCATCATATTGTTGCAAAGATTAGACGAGACAACGTTTCGGCAACAATTTGCTCCCTGCTGTTATTCAGTTACATTTTCCTCCCCTCTGCTTCTGAGACAGTTCACACTTATCTCCTAAAACCATCTAATATTTCCCATCCTGGAACATGAAATGTTTAATGTCTTGCTCCACTGGTCAGTAAAATTAACCTACAAGTACCCAGGTACTACCTGTATAGTCAACTACATGTAATTCTCCCAAGTACAAAGAGCTTAAAACTTCCATTTAGATAAAAAAAAAATGTCATTAAACCCGCTCCCCCACTGAACATACATCTTAAGAAATTTATTTATGTGAAAATCACTGGCCCTGTTAGTAGTCTGAATATTTTTAATATTTGCTTTGATGTGTTGAATTATTACACAAAAATTAGAAAGGAACACATATTTATTTCTCTTTTGTAAATGTATGTCTGGAAGTTTAATGTTGTGATACTTTTAAAACACAGTTGCAAATTAAGTTTATACTCCTCCTATGGAGACAAGTAATTGAAAACTAATACCTACTGGGTAGACACCATTGCTCTAATAGAGCAAAGTGAAAATGTCTCTGTATGTCTTCTAATGCCCAAAATTAAGGAAGGAAAAGTATATTTAGCTCACAGTTTGTGGAGGTTTCAGTATGGCTGGCTGCAAGGCAGGGTGGCGTGACACTAGGGCAAACGTTCACAGCAGGGGAAAACGTTCACAGCAGGGGAAAACAGCAAAAGCAACAAAAACAGAAGCCGGAAGAGCAATCCTCTTTTCCTCCCCTATATTGTAAGCTGATTACCTGCCCTCGGGCAGGTGTAGCACTCACTTCATCTCTCTGCCCTCCTTTTGCACAAGATGAGGACATTTACAAAGCGAGGACCTTGGTCCCCTGCTAAATCACTTAATTAAGCTCTTACACTTCTCAGACTGACACAATGAATCAACCATCACACTATCCCAAGGCATAAACAGCACCTTAGGGCATGTGTCCTCCGTAGAATGTAGAACTGCTGAATTACTTAGTTAAGTTTCTAAACTTCTCAAGTTGACACAGTGTATCAATCATTACATAAGAAGTCATGCAACTTCCATCAGTCTTGTTTGATGAGACATAAGCCCCTTGTCCAAAGTGTTACTATTCTGACACTGTGAATCCAAAGCACCACATAGAAGAGTGTGGCAGACAGTCTAAGTTGAGCCCAAGGTGTCCACCTCCCTCAGCATTTTGGAATGCATTCCAAATGGTGCAAACTCAGTAATTCAGGCACCTTCAACTACCAGAGTGTTCTCAGCAAGAGTTCAAGACACTGTGAAGGAAAGACATGACACGACCACAGATTTAGAAAAGAGCTACAGAATTCCAAGAGCCCCCATTACAGTTAAACAAAGCAAAGGTTAAACTTCTATTATAATAGTTATTTTTTAAACTTTTTATTTTGTTTTATATTTTATAACATACCAGACGGAATTCTACACTACTTTAAGGACCCAAGTCTGCTGATCATTCATTGAAGACAGTTCTACAAAACTTCAGTGGAAGATCTGCTACAAATAGAAAATGTAATTGTAGACCAGTCATCCTCTATTATACAATAACTAGTCTGTTAATGTTATATACAATAAGACAGTGTTTCAGAATCTGGCTCATCTAAAATTTTCACGTTATAAGCCGTGGAAAATATGATGGACTTGTACTCAGTATCCACTCTCACATAATGCCCTGTGGAAAACTAAAAATTAGAAACCTGCAGCTTCTAGATGCATTTAAATTAATTAGTCAGATGCATCTGCATGAGGTGTGGAAGGCAAGATTTCCATTGTGTTTGTGTTTCTTTGGCCCCAAGTGTGACCACAGCTTTCTACTGCATGCTGAGCAGAGGGCCCATTTTCCAGGTCCACATCTTCTGATGTCATAATGTGGGCTTTCCATCTTCCTTGTTCAAACTGTAACAGGTGCAATTTTGTCCTGTAGTCAGCAGAAGAAGCCAACAGTTTTCTGAGCATAGTAGTTTTCTCACTGTGACCGTGGTGGGGTAGCTCTGGAGTTGGTCTCCAGGCCATGGAAAAAGCAGTGGTTTTGAAGTATGTCTTTGGCAGTCAATTTTCGAACTTATCGATGGCTTCTTCAGATCTCTGAATAGTTTTGTAACTGTTTAGTAATAGCTAGTAGTAAACTTCTTCCTGTTTTAACAAAACAGAGATTTTGCTCCTGGCAACTAAACTCAATTAACCCATTACTCCTAGGACACTTAACTAACAAATATTTGCTCTTATGACATCTTCTGGACCACACCACCTGCCTTACCTTGATGGGTTCTCCATGTGGAGACATTACTTCATCAGACAGCTCCATCATCTTCAGTGCCATGAGTGCTATCTGCACCGCGTGGGTATCACTTTCTCTGTGCAACCCCCCAGCCACACAGTATGCATCACCAATCGTCTCCACCTAGACACAATGTATTTTGCATATCATAAATAAAAACACAGGGAGAACTGCTGCATACATCATAGCAGAAATCAAAAATCATATGGCATAAATCTCCAGTGCTCAGCAACCACGTAATGTGAACAATTTACTGTGAAAACCAACCAAGGTAAATCAGATACCCTCAGAAGTGACTTTTCCCCTCAGGATATTCACTGCGTTTGAACCTTACATCAATTCTACACTGCACAGCTGCACAATTCTGTGAACAAAGAACCAGGAGCCTTCTACCCTGGACCTGCCACTAATCTACCATACCACAACCCCTTTTAAAATTTTGTTTGTTTGTTTGTTTTTTTTGTCTTTTTTGTTTTTATCGGTACCAGGGATCGAACTCGCGACTGCCTGCTTGCAAGGCAGGCGCTTATGCCGCTGAGCTAAATCCCCAGCCCCAACCCCTTTTAAAATTGCTACCATGCAGAATACCTTTTGTAGAAACCAATGGTATATTTTGCACTTAAAATAAATTGGTTGAGATATCAGAATCATTTTGCATCATTTTATAGTTCCCTCATTAAAATAGTTTTTCCATGAAGTTACCCAACAATAAATAAAATAGTAATTATAGTAAAAATGTGTAATGTAAAGTTAAAATACTAACAGTTATAAAAGTAAAAATGATGATTTTTCCAAAGGAGTTTTGGTATCTCATAACAATCATAAGTTTCTAGCAGATATGAGTCACAAAGACAGAACTCAAGCTATCAAACCCTAAGACAAAATGCCCCAAAGGCTCTTGGAAATCAGGCTGTTATATAAATTCCAGGTATCACCACCATCATCATCGCTACAAGGACAATTTTTAATCTTCTTGTGTACTAGCTACAGGAAGCTACATGTTACTGTAAATCCATAAATAATTCCTGCAATTCTAGTAGCTGAATTTTTCTTTCCTTTTCAATATTTATTGTAATTCATAGGTCAAATTATTCTTCTCAACCATAGCCTCCATCATGGAGGGATTAAGGTGAGAAAAGAAAAACAAAAAGGGCACAAAACCTCAATAGTTAATTGCAATAATTTCCCATTCACATGTAATAAATGCTGAAGCCCTTAAAACAGCTTCAAGTTGTTTTTAACCTTTCTGCTAATCTTTGACTTTATCTACTAATTCTGTCTCTTGTCCACATTTCTCCCAATGTCACTGAACTCCCTCTGCACTTTCTCACCTCTTAACCAGCTTTATTTCCCTCCAAAATATTAGAGCAACTGAAATACTATAAATATACTCATTTACTATCTTTATTTTCCCTCCCAAAATATCAGCTTTCTGAGTTTGTGTATTATTTTCACCCTTGTACTGTTAGTGCCCAGTAATGCATGCACAGGGAGAGATGCCTTCCATAAGCTGTTCCTCAGTTATGGAATCAGAGAAGGGCTCTTCATAACAGCTGAGCTGTCACAGGTGCTCAGCATACAGCCTGCCTAGGAGAGGTCCTGCTGCCCACTGGGATGCGGAGTTAGGTGCCTCCTGTGCTCTGCTCTTGGGGCATTTTGTACCTGCATGGAAGAATCTTTGGTCACATCAAAGGAATCTGGCCCTTGTTAGCTCCACCCTTCTCTCTTCCTCCCCCAACATGTGAACTCTGCTTTTAGGGATCATATCCTCCTATTCCCTACCCATGGCCCACTGGTGTTGCTAAATGCTGTATAAACAGTACACATTTACTAAGGCAGTGGATACAAGAATACAGATATCAACAGTGCAATAATCGAAAGATTGAGAGACAAAAAGAAAGTGAAATTTTTTTCCTACAAATTTCTGCTTGTAGGAAAATAGATCTACCTTGAAATCATATAAATCAGACACAGGTTAAATACTGCATGATTTCTCTTACGTGAGAAATCTAAAGTATAAATAATTTAAGGAGTAAAATAAAAGATAGATGATAGGGAACAAGGAAGCAAACCCTCTGGAGATGGAAAGAGAATCCACAGGTGGAGGAAGAGAGACGGGAACTAGGAAGGATTAAGTTGTGCTATGTGTATGCACCAACTTCCAGTGAGAAATGCATTCATGACACAGTGTGAAAATATGTACTAACAAACATGCACAAATATGCAAATAAAGACACACATGCATAAATGCACAGATAAATAAAGCAAGTCCTGGCACAAGCAGGTCCCAGGATACATAAGGTGGACTTCTTCCTGAAGTCACTGCACTCCTAAATCAGGCCAAATGGCCATCCACTTGGTGTCGGACCCTTCCCTTCTACCTCCCATCCCTTCCCAGGTATTTTCACGAGGAACAGGAAGCAAACAGAAGGAAGGGCTGAGGACCAGGGGGAAGGTGAGGTATTCTACAGCTCTAGTGTGGGGGATCCGCCAGGGAACTCCGGAAGGAGCGTGGTCTGGAAATCCCCGCTCAGGTGTCTGGATACCACACCCTTATCATGATCAGAATCACCCAAAGCAGAGGACACAGCTCCTGGCAGCAATCACAGCCATCTGCAGCAGGGAACAATGTCACTCTCACGGGTAGGAGCAAGGAGCCATTTCCAAGACAAAACACGACTAAGAATAAATATAGTGAGTTCCACAAGAGGCCATCACATTTACCCAGCTGAAGCCAAGGATTTTGTATGTAATTATACAGGGATTTCGCCTCCCTAACCCACACAGCCCTCTGGGACTCAGCTCTGGCTAGAATTTCCTGTAAGGAACTTCACAAAGGGAGGTTTTGCTCCCAGTTTCTCAGATGAAACAAGGCAAGGATGCAAGAATTTATGCGTTCCCATAAATAAATTATTTTCCACCTCAATTATTTATTTCATGCTGGGTTAAGCTCTGGAATTTCAGATTGTTATGCTGCAAATTAAACAGATGGCTGCAGCCAGACAAATATGATAAATATTTTATTCTTAAGGCAAATATATAAAACAAGGCAAAATAATTTAAACCAGTAAAAGCTTTTAATTCTAAAGCAGCTAACAGGACTTGAAATTCTTTCTTTACTCTCTTCCTAATCATAGTTATTTATATTAAAAAATCTTCACTGGGTGTCAGAGACAGTCACTTCTATGTAAGTGCTTAGAACAATAACTGGCTAATTACAGGCACTCAATAAATCCTGGATGCCTGACCCATAACCATGAGGTGTGATTGACAAGTACAGTGAAATGCAAAAAAGAAAACCGACTACACTAAAAGACACACTGCTGTTAGGCCCCTAACATACTCCCCTCACTTCAAATGCCATCATCCCCAGCAGTTCTTGGTACCCTCTTTTGTTACACCTTAACTGCGCCATCCTGGGTGCCTCTATGTCCGGTATAGATTCCAAAAGTTCACCTCTCAGTCATTTTGGCTTTGGGGAGAGCCAGAGGTGGCGAGGTGGCAGAAGCAGTGAGCCAGGCAGATGAGGACACACCACAGGGTTTCTAGGAGCCTGGTTTCTGTTGGATCACACTTCGTGAAGACACTCCAGAAAGAGAACTTCCAGAAGTGCTTCAGAAAGTGGCGAGAAGGATGGGCTAAGTGTGTTCAAAGTGAAGGGGAGTATTTTGAGGGGGATGAATGGCAATTTTAAAAAAATTAAAACAATCATCATACATTTTGATCACTCATGTATTATCTCTCATAATCTTTGTAATAATCTCATTTACTTCAATTATGGGATGTAATGCACTGTTCCTGTATGAAGATGCTGTGTGTGGCTATTGCTCTTTTTTAGCAACAAGAAAGCTCATTTCACTTGCTCAGTTTACAAAGCAAGTAAGACAGAGGAAGAACTCAGAAGACAAGCCTCGCCTGGCCCTGTCCTCTTATTCTCTTGTCCAGGCTGCACAGATGGCCTACGACAGTGATCTTGATCAATGGAAACTGACTTTGCAAAACATCACAGAAACTCTGTATTCATCTGCTGGGAGACATTTTATAGTTCTCATGTTTCTTTACTTTTACGGATAACAAAGGCTAAAGTTTTCCTATGTGGCTCAGAGCGCCAGGGTGAAGCTGCTGCTCCACTGATTTAACTCTACCTCTTCCGTTCAGCCTGCCCTCCCTCTGTTCTGCACAGATCCTTGAGAAGACAATGCAGTAGTCCTTTCCGGGAACAATTAGCTCTGTCTCTGAGCCCACATGGAGCTATTTCTGGCTGGAGAACACCCACATAATTAACGGCACAGTGTCTGTCCCAGGATGCAGCCTGCAGGGCCCTGCAGAGAAAGCCTCTCATTTGCCTGACAAGTGAGACAGCCTTACCTTGTAGACGTCCAGCTCGCCACACTGCTGGTCAAAGCGCGTGTAGAGCGCGTTGAGCATGGTGATGACCTGCAGAGGCGAGCACTGGGAGCAGATGGCAGTGAACCCCACAATGTCCGAGAAAAGCATGGTGACATTGCTGAACTTCTTGGCTTGCACCATCTGCCCTTGCCACAGCTGCTGAGCAACCTCGCAGGGAAATATAGAGCACAGGAGGTCGACTGTCTTCTTTTTCTCCTCCTCCAGGGCACGGTGGGCCTGCTCCAGAGTTGCCTTCAGCTTCCCCAGCCTCTTCTTCAGGCCGTCCTGCGCGCGAACTTGCTCCCCGATCAGCACCACATCCCTCAGTGCGTTGTGAATGGGGATGTCGGACAGATAGAGCCCTCGTCCCGTGAAATCTTCTAATCTGTCCACACATGGCGAGCCCAAGAACAAGACCGCACTGGACTCGACAATGTAGATCATCTGGCCTTTGAGATCCATGACCTACAAAGCAAAGGAGACCAATCCTTGTGACTCAGTCCTGTCTCCAGTGCCTTCCTGAGAAAAAGCAAGAGGAAATGAATACAGCACCGCCTTTGTGTGTTTAAACTCTGCTTTCTTTCCCACCTGCTTCCGTACCATTCCGATTTGCTATGAGCTCTGGAAGGTATTTGTACAAAATGTACTGGAACGTACCCTAAACTAAAATCTGGCTGTGCAGCAAGCAATGCACAGCACTCTTACTTCGAGGTCTTCCTGTAAGCAGCACGCTGATGCTCCCGCCTGCAGGCTTTTGATACTATCATTCAGCTAACCTGGAGTTACAGTTTCTTTGTGTGATCTGTGGTACTCTCGAAAACAGGTAAAGCTTGCGCAGATGGGAAAAGGGATCCAGGGGTGGAGAGAGGGGAAGGAGAAGGGGACATAAAAAGACCAAAATGAGACATGTGCATTAACAATTCCCCATGACGAATGCACTCACGTGTATCACAAACATGAACAGAAAAGGAGAAAAGGACATAGTCTTTATTCCTCCCTCCCTTTCTTTCTTTTCTCCTGTTTTAACTTGCTTTTCTCCTTTTCTTGTTCAGGAACAGGAGCAGGAGCAGGGGAAGGAGGAGCAGCAGGGGAGGGGAGGAGGAGAGAGAGGGGAGGAGGAGGGGGAGGGAGAGGGGGGAGGGGGAGGGAGAGGGGGGAGGGGGAGGGAGAGGGGGGAGGAGGAGGAGGAGGAGGAGGAGACGAGGGTTCTACATAGCTGAACTTGTGATCCTCCTGCTTCAGGCTCCCAGAGCTGAGGTTACACATGTGGGCCACCATCCTTCGCTATCCTTTCTCTCCTCTCCTCTCCATGACCTACCTGCTCTGTTTGGCAGGTACAGAAGTTAAAATATCTCCAAATATAAGATTTTTGCCCTAACATTTTTCTTTTTGCCATGACTAGCACCACAGAGCCATCTTACTGCAGTTATTCTTTCAGAGAGAGAAGCTGGACCTTGTAGAAAAGACCAAATTTCCAATTCAACTTTAAGGATCTAACCAGCCCTGCCATATACAACACAAAAAACTCCAAATCACACTGCAGAACAGTTTCACCCAGTGTGCTCTAAAAAACGTAGTGCTTCAAGTGATGACCCCAAAGATGAGCTCATGCTGGGCAGACAAGGGCATGTGTGTGTCCATGTGGCAAAGGCGGAAAGCAGCAGGGAGCTGGCTAAAGAAAGAGGACCACACAGAGGAACAGCATGGAATCTCCAAAAAGTGCGTGGCACAGTTTTTACTTCGCTGCAAATAAAAATGTACAGAACTCGTGTTTTTTCTGTTTTGCTGCAATGGATATCTTTGTGCATCAAGCATGTTTAAAAAATTTAATTATTTCAGGATAAAAAAGCATTAAAGAGCCTTTCACCATCAGAACCATGACACTTGGCTGAGATGGGACTGAAGCCACTCTCCTAGCTCTGCTTACGCTATCAACTATGTGTTAGCAAAGAATAAATAACTGCCAATATTAAATAGTTTTTTCCAAAGGTTCCTTCGTGAGATAATTTCTAAAATTCCCTATGTTGATACTGTATTATAAAACATACTCTCCCCATATAGCAATTAATCAAACAAATTATTTATATTTCCATTTTATTAAGTGTTGATTAAAAATCCATTTGGCAAGATGTAGCTTTTGTTGTTTATTATAAAACATTACTTTGAATTGGAAACAGGTTTTCATAACAACATTCACCATTTTAATTATAAAATTTCCTGTAGAGATTTAAAGGCAGGCTGTCTGCAATAAGTATCTGTGAAGTAATGAATGAAATAACCAAGAAAATGAATGCATGCAGGAAAGACTGACGTTTATTCCAAGGTTTAGGCTATTTTAGAGTGGCTTAGACATAAATGTATTGTCAACACAGCTGCAGTGATGCACACAGTTTAACCTTTTGGTGGTTAAGCCTCAAATACATAACTTATTTTATTTTATTATTTGGGCGAGGGATACCGGGGATTGAACTCACAACTTCATGGCTGCCAAACCACTTACACTGCTGAGCTGTATCCCCCACCCCTAACTTCCTTTACCGTAAAGAAAATGCACGCTGCCTTACCCTGGAAGATTTCTTTACAGAGTTGTCCCACCTCCGCACTCGAATGACGAACTGCATGTTCAGCATGGTCATGATCCCACTGAAGGTCTGACTGATTTTGGGTGTCAGAATTTCAAAGCACTCCTCAAAGCGAGGCTTCCCCTGTAGGTCCCGCCTGTTGGTCAGCCGCTTGATGCCATTGCCGAGCTGCAGGATGGTGAGGTCCTTGTCAAACATGAAGTGGAACGGGAAGGTCTTGCAGAAGAGTGACACGGGGATCACCAGCGAGGACTGGGGTTTGCCCGGGCACAGGGACGGCTTGGCACTTTTCACGCGGATGGAGTATAACAAGTAGGGCTGGTTGACAAATTCGGTGCAATCTCTGTGGAAGCAGGGCGGCACTGGGGACACCTCCACCTCGGCCTCATACAGCTGGCGAGCAGCTGCCTTGATGACACCGGGAAGGATCAGAGCTGTGGTCCTCTTGGGGAAGAAGTAGTAAACGTTCAGGAAATCGTGATCCTGGTCAAGGCACAGGATGGAGGCGTCTTCCAACCTGCCCCTCTTCTCTGCTTCCTGGCAGTGGCTGCTCTGCTTCAGAAGTGTGCTGAAGCTGTTTAAGAAGTCTTTCAGAGTGCCTCCGACCACGCCAAGGATGTGTTCGTCTTCTTCATAGCACAGTTTAAAAAGCTCTTCACCCAGAGACTCTTTGATGGTCTCCTCAGGAACTCCTAAAAGTACACAGCACATGATCTGCCACATCAAACTGTGTCTGGGTAGAGGTCTGGCCACCCAGCTCAACCTGTTTGCTCAGTTCCCTTTGTATTTTAAGAGTTCCAACCTCAATCCGATTCCTGCATTCAAATTACCAACACAGATTAGCATCTTAAATTCCAGTAACTTTGCACAAAAACCCCCAGAGTTGATTTCTAGAAAAGTGACTAATGGAATACAAAATATTCCTTTTCATTTCTCTTAACCTGAACTACAAAAGATCAATTAGCATTCCAGGGTGAAGGGCTGGAGGTGCAGCTCGGTGGTAGAGGTCTTGCTAAGCATGAGGGAGGCCTTGGACTCATTCTTCAGACCAAATAAAAACAATACAAAGCTGGAAGTCTAGAATGAAGTCTGTTTTGGAACAGGCCTTCCCAGTTTACACCTTCATGAAGGACCTTCCCCGCCTCAAAGGGTTTCCCGCCAGGAACTAAAGTGAGTGCCACTCATTTTTTTTCTAGAGATGGCTATAAAATTTCCTCTTCCAGTTAAAATAGGAAACATTATCTAATGTTATCTGAATATTTGTTTAAAATACTTATTTTCTACAGCTTCTCCTTTCAAAACTTCTTTTATTGTTTACATTCTAGGTATATTTTTCTCATTTGTGATATAGGTACTATTGTGACAGTAGAGCTACATTTAAAATCACATCTACCTTCCAGGAAGCATTCAATACACGTAAGCAATGATGATAATAATAATATTAGTAATATTATACTTATACTTTTAGAAAGATATAATTTTTTGGTCCATGCACTCAAATTTTGACTGTTTCCCCCAAAACCAATCATTAATGTGAGAAGACTGCTAACCCTTTTTGTCAGGACTGCTTTCAACTTTAAAAAAGTCTTTATTTGACCTCGTTGGGCAGAATGTTTAATGTATAAATGAGGAACACTTTGCTTCAAAGTCAAAGTCTGTGAGTGTGGGTTACTTTTCCATGGAGCCTTCTCTATTTCTCAGCAAATAAACATGATAAACAAGGAAATGTCTGAGGTCAAACAGAAACACAGCACACACAAAAGAGCTGCTCTTCACAGGGGCACATCAGTGATCTGTTCACACTACAACTCACAAGTTGGTAAGAGTACTTTTAGAGAAAATACCAGTTCCGCAAGTATGGGGTATGAGTCCTAATTACATATACTTAAGAATTCTGTTACCTGCTGCAATTGCTTGGTCTGCAATTATTTTCTCAAAGTCTTCTTTCTCCAAGAAGTTCCTAGAAATAATTAACTTAAGTTATAGACAGATAACTTAGTGCTAAAAACTTCAATGATGTAGAATATACTGAAATGACAATTTTGTATGAAAATTCTTTTTTTTCACTAGTTGATAAGTTACATATTGTCATCTAAGAAACAGCTGTTCGAGTTACAAAATCAAAGCATAAAAAGTGGGCAGACAATCAAACAATGACAGTGCAAACCATTCTGTTCGCTAATCCAACAGGTTATCTATCTTACATTCTTAAACACACATACAGTTATATCCTCTAAAGCATTTTCCTTCCCTTTCATTGTTACACTGTCTACTATATATTTTGGATCTTATTACCATTCAGTTTTTATTATTTTTTATACTAGAGAGACAATGTGATATTTACAAATGTGAGTCCTATTTATTTCACCTATGAGGATAGTCTCAAGATGCCTCCATTTACCTGTAAAAGCCTCAAGATCATTCTTTTTATAGCTTAATAATATTCCATTGTATAAAAATAACATACCCTTTTCATCTACTCTGTGGTTGATGGGCATTTTGGTTGTTTCCAAGATTTAGCTATTACTAATTGTGCCGTTATAAACATGGGTGCACATATATCACTGTGACATGACCATTTCAGTTTTTCTGGGAAAATACCCAGGAGAGGAATAGCTGGATTGAATGGAACTTCCAATCCTAGTTTGTTGAGGAATCTCTATACTGATTTCCACAGTGGCTGCACCATCTACACTCCCACCAACAGTGGAGCAGTGTTCCTTTTTCCCCACAGCCTCACCAACATTTGTTATCAGTTGATTTCTTGATGGCAGCTATTCTCTCTGGAGTGAGATGAAATCTCAATGCTGTTTTAATTTGCATTTCTTACATGACCAGTGATGGTGAATATTTCTTCATGTATTTATTTGCTATTTGTATATCCTCAACTGAGAAATGAATGTTCATCTCAGATGCCCATTTTTGGAGAGGGTCTTTGAATTTGGAGGGGCTTGATGTTTTTCAATTATTTATATGTTCTGGATATAAGTCCTTTTTCTGAGGGAATGCTGATTAAAGTTCTTTCCCATTCTGTGGGTTTTCTTTTCACTTTGTTGGTGATTTCACTTTGTTGGTGAAGTGCAAAAACTTTTTAATAAGATGAGATCCCAATTGTTGATTCTTTGAAGTATTTCCTGTGAGTTTGCATTTTGTTCATGAATTCTCTGCCTACCCCTATCTCTCCAAGACTTCTACCTACCTTGATTTCCGGTAGATTTAGTGGTTCTGTTTTAATATTTAGATCTTTGATCCACTTTGACTTTAGTTTTGTGCATGGTGATAGACATGGGTCTAGTTTCATTCTTTGGCATGTAGAAAGCCAATTTTTCCAACACCATTTATAAAAGAGGCTATCCTTATAGTGAACATGTTTAGCCCCTTTGTCAAATATAAGGTGGCCGAATGCCTTTATAGTTGTCTTTGCATCTTCTAATCTGTTCCATTGATTCTCAAGTCTATTTCTTTGCCAGTATCATGCTGACTTCATCACTGTAGCTTTTTAGTATTATTTCAAGGCAGGAATTGAGATGCCTCCTACCTTGCCTTTGTGGTCCAGAGTTGACTTTGCTATTCTAGGTTTCTTCTGTTTCCACGTGAATTTTAGGAGTGTTTTCTCTAGATCTGTAAAGTATATTAATGGTATTTTACTTGAGATTGCATTAAATCTGTGTAACAGTTTTGGGAATGTGACCATTTTCACAATGTTGGTTATTCCTAATCAAAAGCAAGGAATAACCTTCCATTTTCTAATATCCTCTTCCAATCTGCTTTTATAAAGTAGTGTAATTTTCAGCAGGTAAGTCTTTACATTCTTAGGTTGATTCCTAAGTATTTCATTTTTTTAGATGCTATTGTGAAAGGCAATTATTTCCATAGTTTCTCTCACAGAGTCTGTGAGTTTTGTGTGTGTACAGGAATGCTATTGATTTTTGAGTGTTGACTTTGTATCCAGCTACACTGATTATTTTGTTTATTACCTCTAGTAGTTTTTCAGTGGGGTTTTCTGGGTCTGCTATGTAGAGTATCACGTCATCTGCAAATAGTGATAGTTTAACTTTTTTTTCCCTGTCTTTATTCCCTTTATTTCTCTCTCTTGTCTGATTGCTCTGGCTAATACTTCCAGAACTATATTGAATAGGAATGGTGATAGGGGACATCCTTGTCTTATTCCTGATTTTAGAATGGAAGCTTTCAGTTTTTTTCCATTTAGTATAATGTTGGCTGTTGGTTTGTCACAGACAGCCTTTATCAGATTGAGGTAGATATCATCTATTCTGAGTTTCTATAGGGATTTTATCATGAACAAGTGTTGGACTTTATCAAAAGCTTTTTCCTGCATCTACTGAGATGATCGTTTGTTTATGGCTCTGTTGATGTTGTGTATTACATTTATTGATTTGTGTATGTTAAACCATCCTGCATTCCTGGAATAAATCCCACTTAGTCGTGATGTATAATCTTCTTGATGCTTTGCTGCATTCTATTTGCTAGTATTTCACTGAGAATTTCTACATCAATGTTCATTAGTGAGAGTGGCCAACAGTTCTCCTTTTTGGTTGGGTCTTTGTCTGGTTTTAATATCAGAGTAATACTTGCCTCCTGGAATGAGTTAGTGAGGACTGCTTCCCTTTCAATTTCATTGAGGAGTTTAAGGAGTATTGGTGTCAAATCTTCTCTAAATTTCTTGTAGAATTCAGCTGTGAATTCATTACGACCTGGGCTTTCCTCTGTTGGTAAGTTTTTAATCATATTTTCAATTTCAATAGCTGATACTGGATTATTCAAAACTGTTATATCATCTTGATTGAGCTTTGGTAGTTAATATATATATATAGAAATGTGTCCATTTCCTCTGTGCTTTCCACCCTAGTGAGTAGAGATTTTCAAAGCAGGTATTCATGATCTTTTGAATTTCCATGGGATCTGTCATGATTTATCTCTTTTTAATCCTTATTGTGTGAATTTGAGTTTTTCTTTCTCTTTCTTGATAAGGTTGGCTAGAGGTTTATCAATTTTATTCTCTCAAAAAAGTTTATTTGATTCATTAACTCTTTGTATTGTTTTTTATTCTCAGTTGCATTACCTTTTGCTCTGATCTGTACAATTTCCTCTCTTCTATGAACTTTGTGTTTGACTTGCTCTGCTTTTTTCAGAAGCCTGAGATGTAGTATTAGGTTGTTTATTTGTGCTCATTCCGTTTTCCTGATATGACAATTTATTGTTATATATTTTCTGCTTAGGATTGCTTTCTTTGCATCCCACAAGTTTCAGTATGTTGTGTCGCATTTTCACTGAATTGCAGATAGTGCTTAATTTCTTCTTTAATGTCACCTATAACCCACTGATTGTTCAGAAAGTTATTTAATTTCCATATGTTTATGCAGGTTTTGCAATTTCTTTTGCCTTTAATTTCCAATTTCAGTGCACTATGGTCAGATAATATGCATGGGATAATTTCAATCCCTTTGCATTTACTTAAGATTCTTTTATGGTTTTTAATATATGGTCTATTTTGGAGAATGTCCCATGTGCAGCTGAGAAGAACATATATTCTGATGTGGTTGGGTGGAACACACTGTAAACATCTACTAAGTCCATTTGCTCAGATGTATGATTCCATTCTGTTATTTCTTTGCTTTTTGTCTAGTTATCTTTCTCTTTGTGACAGTGGGGTATTAAGGTCCTCTATTACAACTGTGTTCTTATGTATTTGGTTTTTCATGTCCATTAGTATTTATCTTATATAGTTGTATGTGGTGCCTATATAAGTGTTAGTTCTTCCTCTTGAATTTTTTCACTAACAAGTATGTAGTAACCTTCTTTATCTCTTTTAATCATTTTAGGTTTGAAGGTCACATTTTCTGCAAATGCAATAGCTATCCCTGTTTTCTCTGGGCTCCTGTTACATGGAATACTGTTTTCCATCCTTTGACTTTTAATCTATGATTTGCCTTTTGAGTCAGATGTGTTTCTTGTATACAGCATACCGTGGGAACGTTTCTTGATCTATTCTGTCAGTCTATCTCTTTTAATGGGTGAATTGAGGTCATTTGTATTGATGGATATAACTAATATGTACTGGCTCAATTTTGTCATGGTATGTTCCTGTTGTTGAGTTTCCTGCTTTTCCTCCTTGTTTAATTGCTTGCCCTGTCTGGTGGTTTCTTTCTGTTGTTTTTCTGGAAATTATGGTTATTTTTGTCTCTATCTAGTATGTCATTCAGTACTCTTTCTGTGGTTAGTTTGGTGGACATGAGTTTTTTTCAATTATTCTTTGTCATGGAAATATCTTGTTTCTCCACTGAATTTGAAAGAAAACTTTGTTGGGTACATCAATCTGGATTGAAAGCTGTTTTCTTTCAGGACTTGAAATACTTCACTCCACGCTCATCTTACCTTGAGAGATTGTGCTGCAAAGTCTGCCGTGATTCTAATGGGCTTTCCTCAATAGATGAGTTGTGACTTTTCTCTAACAGCTTTTAGTATTCTGTTTTTAGGTTGTATATCTGGGATTTTTATTATTATATGTCTGGATGTAGATTTATGTTGGTTTTGACTGCTTGGCATTCTATATGCCTCACTTATCTGCATATCAGATTTTTCCCCCATGTTTTTGAAATTCTCTGCTATTATTTCTGTGAATAGTTTACCAATGTCATTTGCGTTGACTTCTGAATCTTCATTAATGCCTATTAGTCTTATATTGTTCATTTTGGCATCATCTTGAAGCTACTGAGTTGTCATCTCATGCTGCTTTGTTACTTTTAAAAGTTCTATCCTTTTAAGTCCTCTAACTGTGATCCTCTCCTTAAGGTCCAAAATTCTATACTCAGCTTCATTTAAATGGTTTTGTCAGCTTTCAGTAGAATCTTTTTTTCTTGGGTATCTTTCTGAATTTGTTTCATGAATTCTGCTTGTTTTCTATATTGTTCTTCCAATGCTTCTGTACTTTTATCTACTTCTCTAGCTACACTAAGCAACTTCTTTACTAAGGTTGTTATTTCTGTCTTTACATGACTATTTCTAATTTGATTTCCTCTATAGCCTCATGGATTTGTTTCTTTATTCCACTTGCTATCTTTTCAGAGATTTCTGGCGTATGACTTTCAAAGTCTTCTGTTTCCATGTCTCCTGTACTTGTTTCTGATGGACTATATGTTTGAGATTACATTTTGCTTTCTCATTTTGTCATTTTGACCTTTCAGGCTAATATTTGGTCTTTCAATCCCACTAGTCTCAAGTGCTGGTAGTGTGTATCTTAGGGTCTATAGGGGAATTCTTGATTTAGGATTTTGTAGGAAAACAGCAGTGACAGATACATTCAAAACAACTTTGAAAAAGCCCCAAATATACTCAGAATGAAGTATTTACACATTTTGATGAAGCTCCTTTGCTTCTGAAGTTCAATATACTCTCTGTATCTATCTATCTATCTATCTATCTATCTATCTATCTATCTATCTATCTACCTATCTATCTATCTACTTAACTATCATGGTAGGGTCTTCACACTGAGCTATACCTCCAGCCCTTATAATTCTGATTTTGACACAAGGTCTCACTACATGACATTCCTCCTGCCTAAGCCTCTCAAAGTTCTAGAATTACAGGCTTGAGCCACCATGCCCTGACTTGAAGTTCTCTTTAAACTGGCCAAGCTCAATAAGTCCGCCACAGTGTCAGGGACCCAGGAGTGCACACTGGTGAGAAACGTTTGAGGAATAGGGGAGTGGAAAGAGGGCTCCAGGCGCAGCCCTCTCCCTATAGGTGCTGTGAGCCCAGGGGTTCTATCCTTAGCACTGGGCGGGAGGAGGGAAGATGGGGAGAGGGATAGACAGAGACAAATGCAGAAACAGAGAGACATGAGACAGATAGGGTCACAGACAGAAAAATAAATCCTCAAAGATGTATTCTAATCATCAGGTCAAGTAGGCAAATCTACAGACAGGAGAATTTCACTTTTAAGTATCACTATACTGTATTTTTTTCTAAAGCAAATTCATACTATTTCTTGCTTTTAAGATTCTATATATTTATCTTTCAGGCAATATTTTTATAAAACTTTCACTCTTAGTCTTATATAAAAGATTAGTAACAAAAAAATCTATTCTTTATTACTGCTCTGTTTTCTATAGCAGAGAAGTTGGCAACATAGTAACACACATTTTGATCAACAGGTTCAATAATTTTAACAGGACAAATTGGTGATTCATGTTTTCCTGACTGTTTGTTTGATAATTTCTGACAATAATGACCAATTACCTTCAAATGTGCCATACTACTATTTACATACCAGAGATTACTACTGATTCAAGTTTCCATTAGATAGGCCATGTTCACAAAAAGGCACACATTTCAATTTCCAATAAAACTTAGTACACACCGAGAAGGTTAAGAAGAAAACATTTCAAGAAGGAAACTGCTCAGTCTGCCACTTTGACATTTGAAGGTATATTGCTCACAACTAAAACACTAGGTAGAAATACTGCATCTCAGTTTGGGGAGCATTTTTCCATGTTATTATATCAGCTGGGATCCAGAGAGCCCCTAGTTCCTTTATAGACATTTCTTTATATTTAACAATTTTAATCTTTAGTTTTGCTCCTTTTGCTCATCAAGCAACAGCTTTCTTTTAGTAAGGAATGGCAGCAAGCCTCAATCTAAGGCTTCCATATCAGCACACGACATGTGAGCAGGGCCTGGTTCATCCAAGCAGCACACAGCATTGCCAATAAAATTCCCTGCCCTCATCTTCAAAACTGCAAGCAGGCATGGCAAAATGCACATACTCTCTCTCTCTCTCTCTCTCTCACACACACACACACACACACACACACACACACACACACAAAGAGAGCCAATTGGCTATTACAGAATGATGGGATCAAAAAGATCCCAGAAACAAACAGCTGAATAACCTACCCAACGGGTTGTAAAGACTGTATTCAACTCAGCGCCTTAAAAATGGGGCTGGCAGGTGGGCTCCAGCCCTTCATTCGCGATCCAACGCCTGTGCAATATATGTTTTCAAGGCCAGAATACTTGGAACAGTCTAATATGTGGTTCAGGTGTGTTCGACGCTTGGTAAGCAGAGCAGCAGAAATGGTAGCTGACTTGCCAGTGTGACTGCTAGGGCGAGAAGCTGAACCAGAGCAGACAACCAAAAATAAAACAAGCCAGGCAGAGAGGGGCCACTCAGCACAAGGCAGGCAGCTTCCGGAGGGAAAATCTGATGTCAACAACTGAATGACTGTTATTTAAAAGCTGAAACTACTCTTTTTCTTTAATAAATCAGGGAAGTGGTAAAAGGTTTCTTAAGATTTCCAAATGAAATGATTGTTTATTTAAGTTTTGAGATTTCTTTTGAGAGAGACAGCAGTGGACACAGCCTCACTGCCTATCTCCATGTAGACATCAGAACACTTCAGAACACAGAGCCCCGAGAATAAATTCTGCATGAACTGGCTGCCAAGGGCTTGCATACAGCCACAGTAGCAGAGCAAGAGTGCCCTGCAGCTATCTTATCACCCTGGTAGGGATTAGGGTCAGAGGCATTCTGGAAGGCTTTGTGTATCACTCACACAAACAAAGCTTCTGTCAGACCCACAGTTCACACTCTCTTCTGTGGCACATCCATGACCCCTTCTTGGCTGGTCCTGCTGCCTGCAATCTGGGACCAGTCAGCGGGGAAAATGAAGTGCAGATAATCCACAGGGCCGATGATCTACTTGTGGGCTGAGAGAGACCAACATATTTATCAAATTTCCCTCATGGTGGGACTGGTTTATTCTATTCTGAACATTTGAACTCAAGTATTTATTCCATTTTTCACAAATTAAATCATTTTTGAAACCTTGGACAATCAAAAATAGGTCACTCTGTTCACCCCCTAAAGTAAATGAGCCAAGTTATATGTATGTGAATATTTTATTAAAATGTCATCTTGTATGAAGCAACTTCAGAAACCTTTTTTAAGAAAAATTTTGCAAAAGAATGCAAGGAAGAAAAGATCGGCAGAACTGATATTTGCCAGGAAGATCAAGCTGCTTGTGAAAATGCAGAACCTCTTCCCTCAGGATTGATACATGGTTTCCCTCTAAGCCTGAAGTCCTTCCTCCTCTTACCTTTTGGGACCCCTGCCCTTCTCCTGATGTACTAGGGTTGGGGTGCCCACTGGTATCCCATCTGGACTTCTGGAAAGCCCCTTAAGAAAAGGAATATATTTTGATTTTGGGTGCTCTGCGCCTTACCTGTCAAACATCATAGACATGATCCCTCACTATGACAGAACAGATCTTAGAGGAGCTTGTTCAGGAAGAATATATGGTAACATGATTAAAACCAAGACTCTGAAGCTCAGGCTTGAACTCTGGCTGTGCCTTTTCTGAAACAACCATGAAAACTTAAGTACTGCGAATAAACCTGAGTTTAGTCATCTGTAAGATGTGAAAAATAAATGCACTTATTTTCAAATTAATAGCCGCCAAAACAGTTCCAGGTTCTAGCACACCATATTAATCCACACGTTCAGTGAGTGCTAGTTCTTAGCAATGGGACCAACTGGAAGTGGGAGTGAGACAGCTACAATCACTCTACTTACCTGCTTTCTTTTATATTATAATTTGCTAGTGTTCTCTGAAGTGCAAGGTTCAGCCGTTCAAACTGGAAAATGAAAAGAAATGTCTCTAGAATTTCCTTACATAACAGCTTGCTTGAAAATACACATTTCTAAAAACTCATTTTTAAGAATTCATAGTAAGAGGCAGAAACATTATTACTTAAATAATTAAGTTTACTGAATTTAGGCTTTGGGAACTGGGTATAATTTTCCACGTTTTTTTTTCAAATCAGGGAAGAAACAAGCTCAGGCTGGCATGACTTTGGTCACTCTGGACTTTGGCCTCACGGAAAGCGGGGTCTGCATCACCCAGAAGGGAGTCCGGCAAGGTTTACCTTGTCTGCTACTAACGCAGGAGTCTGAAACCTCATCTGGTCAGGATCAGGAAGTCACTGGATGACCTCCCAGTACTTGAGTTGCAGCCTGGCTCAAACCAAACTGATTTCTGCTCTTTTCATAAACATAAGCTCTACACTCAGCCGACGTAAGTGCCCTTACCTACACATTCATATTGATGCTCTGTATCATCTACTCTACAAACCTCCAGAGTGTTCCCTCTCTACCTTTCCCCTTGACACCTTCAATCAATCGTGACATGAATATTAATTGATCATTTATTTAAAAAGAACCTAGGATTTATCTGAACAGGTACTCAATTTCTTTCTTTGAGCTAATCATCCTTACCAGATACTGATACTTTCTTACTGACTTCTATTTCATGAGTTTGCTTATTTTGCAAAATGCAACATATTTGGATATAAAGTTTCTATATTTAATAAATATGTCTGGCAATTAATATCTCCTTGATTGTCTTTAGCTAATTAAGACATAAAATGCTGATATATAATGCTGCTACTTTTTGTATTCCATTTAAAAATCATGCATATGCCTTGCAGATATGTATAATCAGTGATTCTCTTCATAGTTCACTCTGAGGAAAGTGGAGAATCTTCTGGCTATGTTCAATGCTGGGAAATGCTTGTCATAGTTTCCACTAATCAAGGAAGATAACGGAATTAGAATAAGACTGCTTTAACACAAGTTATAAAAAAATATTTGATAGATTCATGTTTGCACACATGTATATATGTATAAAGTTTAGAAAAGAAATTTGACATATATTGAACGAAAATCATCCACTGGATATAAAAGTGAATTTGATGAAGAATAGGTAGTTCTTGTTAAAACCAATTCTTTTGTCATTAATACACCACAAATGAGTATTTCAAGAATAATTGCTATTTGAAGCAACACTGCTAAACTTTGATGAGTAGAATTTCATTGTTACAGTTTACAGATCAGTCACTGTTTCAGTTGTTTTCACATTTATACAGTTTTTATGTGTTCTAGAATAAGAAGGCTCTAATTCATAAGGATAAATCATAATACTACTTTTTTAGAACACATACAGACCCTGACAGTCTCTTCAGAGCCTCTGACAATTGCTCGTTCTGTGAGCTTGTTTAAGGACAGCCAATCCCAAGGATTCAATTCAGTTAAGTAGATTCTGATTTGCTACATTTATAACTATGGCTAATGCTCTACTACAAGCTCTTTCCAGACACTATGCCTGAGGAGCTTACAGAACATGGGTTATCCAGCTTCCCAACAATGACTTCATCTCTGTATGTCTCCCTCTGCCTTTGGATATGACCATGCTGGAAGCTTCCTAGATGCCCCTCATTCCTCCCTTGTCCCAGCCAGACCTGATGGCTGGCTTGGGCTGAGCATAATTGAGTATTCTCATTTCAAAGGTCATTAGCCAAACTACTGATGTGATGATGTTATATTGAAATAAACTTCAACTTTCAGCTAAATCTAGTTGCCCCTTCCCTTAAGCTTCAGTTCTAGTCTCTTTTTTCTCAGGCACTGAAGCCTGTATTGTTTTAAGGATTTACCACCTTAGCCATGAAACTCAGTTCAATTCTAGTCAAGTCACTTAACTTTTCCAGCGCTTTCTGAGGGTGAAACAAGGTTTCTCTAAAATTCCTTTTCAATTCTACAAGTGAGTGAATATGGGATCTTTGGCACTTTGCATAGAGTAGAATATCAATTCTACATCAATTAAACATTATCAACATATTATAACTGAATTCTGATTATGTCAGTGACCACTCTTACAGATTAAATGAGTTTACATAAAATTGAACACTGACAGGGAGAGGAACACATCATAAGGATATTCAACGTATCTCTACCTCTGCAGAAAAAGGAAAGCTCTCTGCCTTGCCCATCTACTCCTAAAACAGTTACTCTTAAGGAACTGTACCCTGTTCCCAGAGTTCTCAGTAAGAGACTGAATGAAGGTACCCGCCATTTTGAAGTGGTGTTATGTTACAGAGCTCAACAAATGTCAGAGCCAGAAAAACACAGAAACTCTGGCAATCAGAGGCTCATAACTCTGACTCAGGAAAACAGATCAGGCCTGATTCTAGAAGGATCTTCAGACAAAGAGCCAATAGGAAAATGGGAGATTTTTACACTCACTTCTGCAAATTGGTCAGGGACCTATGATGCTCTTTGAAATTAAAAGAGGAAATCCTGGTAGAAAATACATTATTCTTCAATGAATTTAATTTAAAAATAATAGACTTCTACTCTTGAGGGCTCATAGTATAGCAAAGGTTGTCCATAACTCCAGCTGACACTAAAATGCTGAGATAGGTAGGGTTGCATTTCATAGGTGAGGAAGCTGAGATTACAGGGTCTTAAGCAGTTGGTCATAAAGTATGCCAGACTGTGGGATCCTTCTGACAAGAATTATGATGTTATGAAATTAAACACAGTTTAAAACATGACTTTAAAAGTGTTTTCATATATTTCAAGAAATTATTCTGTATTACAATCATAAAAGTGAGGCGGGGGGGGGCGCACATCTCTAATCCCAGTATTGGGGAGGCTGAGGCAGGAGGATTGTTCTGCGTGCGAGGCTTCTAAATTCTAAGCGCTTCCTTAGAAAAAAACTTTTTTTTGCCAATTTGAAAATACCACTAGGATCTCCTCAGGGAAGCCCTCACCTCTGGGAAGATCAGTTTGCAAATACTCTCCGCCAAAGTGTGCAGGTAGACCCGGCTGCGACTGGTCTTTCTTTGAGGAAGACTTTCCTGCATGTTCTTCTCGGGAACATCCTGGCAGATGGGCGCCACGGCCTCTCGGGGCTCTGAACTTCCGGCCACCTCCTCTGCAGGTTCCTGCGGCACCTGGCCCGGGGCCAGCAAGGAGAAAGGACACTCCCCTGCCAACTTGAGATCCTTCAGCTTCGTGCAGAACATGGCGGCACCACGCAGCCTCTGCCGCTCAGGCTTTTGGGAGACGCTTTGCCTGATGGGAGGCCAGGGGGCAGGGCCGCAGCCAATCCAGAGACAGTGGGCGTGGCTAAAGCAGCAAACAAAACGGGAAGAGAAAGAGTGACTTTCTCCCATTTGGAAAGAGAAAAAGCAAACACTATACCGTCACATACCATTTTCGGTAAAAAGAAAACAAAGATTCCGATGAATTGCCAATTACAAAAGGCGCAGGATAGCGGGAGAAGCTCCTTAACACACGCACAATTCAGGGGACTGTAGCAGTGAATACTGGACTTCAGTAATTTAACGCTTTAATGTTTTCTCTAAAAATAGCCTTAGAAGGAACTAATTTCTATTTTGACAAGTCATTTGGTCAAGTTTGATTCCACAAGAGTCAAACAGTGTGACAGAAGTTATGTCTAAATGTTTTTTAGTACTTTTATTACTACATTCTATGATGCTACTCTTTCTAAAATATCAGAATACCATACACCAACATCCCTCAAATATACTAAAGATAAAATTCACACACACATGCACACGCATACTCAAAGTACATCTAAAACTGACTTTTGGATGAAAACGACTCCTGTAAAATACGTATCACTATATATAGTGAAACAGCATTAAAATGTTATCATAAAAATCAATATTTTTTCAAAAACTCCTGATTGCTAAGAACATCTCATGGGGTTTGAAGAGATCCTCGGATCCAAACACAAATGATACTCAGATAAACCAAGAAAGCCTTGCTGGTCAGAGCCTGCCCTGAAGTTACATACACTGGTATATTTCCCCTTTAGTCTGTGTTGGTGTTATGTTCAGAAATCATTTGCACAATTCCCAACACATTTATTGTCAGTTGTTTGTCACTGGAACTGACCAGTTTGAATTTAGTTTACCAACAATACTAAAAATCCTAATTTGGTGGGTCTGTAAACTATTTCCTACTTTTAGAAAATACAAAACAAAGTGTAAAGAATACACATGCAGTAATTCCTGACTTTACGCCTAATAGTCCTGAGAACTCTACATTACATTTCCTCACAGAATCCATATGACACCGATATCACTTCTCTAAAGGTACTCAAATATTCTGTCACTTTACCTCATTTGAAATGCTAGAAAATGACAGTTCTTCTAACTCCTGAACTAATGTTTCTTATTACCTCAGATTCATTTCAAGTTAGATCCATCAGGCTTAGTTTAAGTTTATCTCAAAATATGGTCCGTAAGTTCGTATTAAAAATCAAGAACAAAATTCTCCTGCTCACTGGCTGATGGTTTATGAACCACTAAAGATATAGCTTTGTATTTCAACCTTTAGAAATGATATACAATTTGTTTTGCATTCTCCTCAGTGTCATTATTTTCTTAGGATGTATAATCAATTGTTGCAGGTAAATTAATCAGCTCAGAAAAGTGAACAATTCATTGCCTGAACTGGGGGAAATAAAGCCAAATCCACCACAAGACACACCTCATGGTATCATATAACATTAGAAGGGGAAATGTTGAATGTTGCCAGAGGCTGCCAGTGTGGTTCATTATGTAAAGTTACAGCCCAAAGCTATGATAACATTTAACTTACGAGTGTTCAAGAAGACACAAAGGAAAATTCTATGTATTCACCAGGAGTAATTCTATTCTGCCAGAAGAGAAAGGGAGAACTCTACGAGGTAACCCAAAATTATACTACAGTGACGGGGATTTTGATCACATAGATTGTGAAAGACCTAAAGCGAGAAGGCTTTCAACCACACTGCTTTTCATATTTAATTATGCTGAAGTCTTGTCTCAGTATTGTCTGCAACTCAACGTAACTCTATTATTAGTATTTTTTTAAATATTGCATATTAAGTTCTGCTCTGATGTATGGTTCAAGACTATAATCAGCAAAACTTCTTGAAAGGAGCAGAGACACTCTCAGATTTTCAGGCTCCGTGATCTTGATCTCAACTACTCTGTTCTACCATGGCAGCCTGAAAACAGCCACAGACCACACAAATGAAAGGGAATGGAAGCATCCCAATAAAATTCGGTTATAGAAAACTGAGTAAGTTAGCCAAAGCATTTTAATTTAAATGTAATTTGGACAAAAAGACCAGAATTACAGTCTTCTTTTCTTTGCCTGATCCTCCTCTCCAAAAATAGCAGCCTATGTGGATCCAGCTTCTTTGCTGTGGTTACTGTTGTTGCCATTTATCACTGAATCCAGAACCTCACACATGATGGGCATACACTCGATCACTCAGTTACACTCCAGCCCCTAGATCCACTTTTTGTACAACTTGAAAGTAATAAAAAATAGTAGAGTATATAATAGTAATATTTATTTATTCCTGGAAATAATACTGTGATTCCTTTAGGTTAATGCTCGGAAGAAAGCCTGTAGTAACTGCACATCACAATTTCAGTTATCTCAAAATGTAACTACAAGCCAGCATGGTGTCTCATCCCTGCAGACCCTGTACTCTGGGAGGCTGAAGTAGGAGGAATCCAAGTTTGAGGACTGTCCACACAATTTAGGGACTTAGCAAGACCCGGTCCCAAGCAGAAAAATAATAAAAAGGGGAGGTTGGGACAGTGGTAGAATGCCCCTGGGTTCAATCTGTGATACTGCAAAAAAAAAAAACCAAAAACTACAATTAACCAGCAGAGGGAACTCAAAAAGGAAAGCAAAATTAGAACATTATATATTGTCAAAACTACAGAACTGATAACCTAAAATAAATTATTCTAGTAGGTCTGGTGTAATATAGTTTATGATAATTTTTTTATTAACCTTACTCTCCTATCCCACTGAGCTGACCAGTGAGCTCTTCAAGTGTTTTCTTTTCCTGCATTGCACAGTACTATAATTTCTGGAAATTGACACTGTTTCTTATTAACTTAAAAACGGCAAGGGGAAGCAGTTGTCCTTACTTCAGAGTAGACTGATTCGATGCATTAAGTCACCTGTGTGTAAACAAACAGAGGGGCCTTCTTGACCAGTTCCACAGGCAAGACTGTGCTAGGAAGTAGATGCACACAGGGCCAGCAGATTGGTCCTGGTCCTTCCTGCCAGGGAGACCGAGGACATTGTTCCATTAATTGTTGGCAGTTTTCTCAAAAATGGTCTGGACAGCTGATGAACACAGCACATAACTGGTTATAGAAATGGCCACAATATAAGGGAAAAACAAAGTAATAACTCTGGTGACTAAGCCTTGGCAGCCAATGGGGACATGTTCTCACGAAGGTAGAGAGGTATTTGCTATCCCAAAAGTTGCCGGTCTCTGAATGTACTGAATGTGGTCTCCCTTTTCCTGGTGAGTAATTAACTTTGCTGTGGTAAGAACAATGGCCCAGCTGATGTTCTCAGATGAAAAACCAGGACACAGTTATTGTTCAGGTAAGGGAACTCCCCATCACGTAAAGTCCAGGATTTAATTAAGCAGGAATACCTTGTTTGCTACATGTAACAAGGTCATACAGACCTGAGGAAAACACTTCCCTGGTCCTGGCTGCTACAGAATACCACTTTTGCAGTCCAAGGTATTAAAGATCAGATTTGAAAATTAGAATTCAGTTAAAGAGGAGCAGTCTAAGAAATAAATCTCCAACGTAAAAGCCAACAGTCTATTCAATGTCTAAGACCAGACCTAGATCCTGAATACACCAGCATCTATGACTAAAGATATTTAAGGAAAACAGGTAAATTTTCATGAAACTGAAAACAAAGTTTTGTCTCCTTAAAAATGGAAAATATTTTTAATAAAAGCCAATCAATCAGCCTGTAAGAGGTGTTACTTTTCACTTTGCAGTGAGAACTATTTATAGAACTTTCTCTGTGATATATCAGGAAAGGTCAGAGCAGCAGAAAAACCAATAAGCTTGTCCAAGTTTCTACACAGTTCTACATTTAAAAAAAAAAAATCTCAGATGCCTTTGCGACATCTGTCTTTTTTAGTCCTACTGATTATCTGTTTATTGTCATACTTCTTGAGAGAGTGGGTTTTGGGGCTATGTTCCATTATTTAGATCATATTTATTCTTACATCTACAATGACTGAGCTTTTGTAAACTGCTTATTAAATTCAAAACTTAAAAGTCAAAGTCCAAGAGTTTGACTTGGACAGTTGAATTTGCCCTGCATTTGTATTTTCCTTTTCAGATGCTTGACTGCTACACATTCTTTGATATTACTGACTGCCTCCCACTTCATTCGTTCTGTTCACAGACTACTGAGGGGCCTCCTGCCACATTCCAGGCATTTCTCCAGATACAAAGGCGGAGTGACATCAGAGGACAGACCCTGGTCTTCTAGGACATTCATCCCAGCAAGAAAGTGTGACATAAACCATACAGCCTCACAGTCACATAGTGCTCTAGGAATGAAAATCAGGACTGCAAACCTTGTCCCATGAGAAACATCTGAGCAGAGCCAGGAAGAAAGTTCCAGAAAGAAGAACATGCTTGGAGATCAAAATGGACCTAGCCACACTTGAAAAACAGAGAATCCCAAGGCAGCTGGATGCTGTGTCTGTGAGAGCAGGGCAAGGATCTGAGACATAAAATACGTCAAGACAAGCATCTCTCAAGGCTCTGCCAATGATGATGAACAAATTAAAACTCTGTTGTATGGTTTGGCCACCATAAACTGGGTGGCCAAAAGCAAAATTACAAAATTACAAACGGCTTAGACTATCTTTTTAAAAAGAGATTTGAAAAGTACAACGGAAAAAATGTTGGACAAATCAGTTTGGGATGAAATGGTGGTTGTGGGGGATGAATGGAGACCAAATGCAGAAGGATTCTGGAAAAAGGGTTCACAGCCCTGGGATACCAACAGGATACAGGGGCTGTAGGGGAGAATGTCCCCTTGGAGGCTTCGTGGCTCACGGTGGGATCTGTGGGAAGGGACTGGACCATGTGACACTGCACTCCTGGTGGAATGACTCCTTGGTGAGCTCTGGGGCCTGACCGGAAGTAAGGCTCTCTGGGGGAGGGTGGCCTTCCCCTCTGCTCCTTCCTCTGCTAGTTCCTGACTGCCATGAGGTGAGCAGCTTGCCTCTACCCAGCCCTTCTGTCTGGCTGCTTCTGTGT